AAGAATTTTAAAAGCTGGCTATTAGCCTGAAGGGAAGAGCAATGTAATTTTACATATAGGGAAACTATTCCGGGGGTTTTTATTGCAAATTTTCTTTTGGACTAGGACTAAATACTGATTGGAAGAATAATTCTGGGATTTAACCAGAGTATAGTGCCAAGGAGTATTCCATAAATGCCCAGGATGTTTATGAATGGGACAATCATTCTTCCATTTGGAGTGGTCCATGACATACCCTGTCATGATGTGATAAGGTCTCCCCTCAGCCTCCTTTCTCCAGACTAAACAACCCCAGTTCCCTCAGCCGCTCCTAATAAGACTTGTTCTCCAGACCCTTCACCAGCTTTGTTGCCCTACTCTGGACATGCTCCAGTGCCTCAATGTCTTTCTTGTAGTGAGGTGCCCAAAACTGGACACAGTATTCAAGGTGTGGCCTCACCTTTGAAGGAGACAACAGAAGAGATTTAAGAATGCAGGTCACACAGTTGTGGGGTGGGAATTCTCTTCACCTGTATTTAGAATTCTAAACCACAGAGAAATACACATGTATCAGACAACAAGTGTAGATGTCTAAACCAGTTCTGATGGATTACAATCCCACAAATGCTTGATTTTCTCCATTAACTGTAAGTCACTAGATGACTACCTCCCACACAAATATCTAACATTAGGTAACAAGAATCTCATTCCTATCAACATAGTCTCCACAGGACCCAAACGGGCAGCACAAATTCCCATAGTTTGATCCCAATCAGTGTATAATCCATTACCAAATTATTATAGGTGATCTCAACAATGATGAATTTTCGATAGATCTTGCATCATGGAACTGTTGCTGAGTACACACACACTTTCCCTCACAGCCCTCACAAGCATTCCTGGATTCCTCTTCAGTGCTAAGCTCTTGCATAGCAATACCCATGAGTAATACTATGTACTACCTCCAGTTGGCCAAGAGATTCTGTCCTATGCTGGTGCAATTTATTGGCCTCTATTATACATGTTCTTGTCACCTCGTCTAGACTAAAACAATGCAATGCTCCTGGGCATAGTGCCACTGGCCTCATAAGAAGCTTAGAGCTAATAGAGAATTCTGGAGGAAAATTATTTCTCCAGCAAATTCATTAAAATTTCCCCCTGTTCCCTACCCTTCCCAAAAAAAAAAAAAAAAAAAAAAAAAGTGTTCTTGTTCAGGGTTTCAGTTTTTATTTTATAAGCATTTAATTGCTTCAGCCCTACCTAAGGTCCACATAAGCCTCTGTGATGAAAACCACAATTAACATGTCCGCATATGATGCAAAACAGAACTCTCCCTCATAATCATAAAGCTCACCTTCCACATGGGGAATTTACATGGCTTTGTGGAGCAGATTTCCAAAGAAAATAAGGACGCTCCCATCACTCAAGAAAAAGACATGCTGTCTCAAATATGTCAAACCTAACACGGTGTAGCATATTGCTTTTATGTAGCCCAGAAACCCAAATAAATCATGCACTGCAGGCATAGGTAGAGGAAAAATGGGAAAGACCAAGTGACACCTAAGGGAAGTCAGACATATTGCTTAATGCCCTAGTGGAAGGATTTCCGAAATGATGATGACAAATGCAGTATAATAAACTCTGTAGAACATAAACTAATGGGATAACTGCTCATAACTGTGAACAACTTTTAGGAAGAAAAGCTTATAATGCAGCATAGAGAAAACCTGTGAAGGCTATGCACAATCTGCTGATTGACTAATTAACAGATATGCAGCAGTCCTAGATTATGCAGAAGAAATGCTTCAGTGGAAAATTAAAAGTTCCAGAGTGAAACTGGACGAGATTTCAGACCTCAGTCTGCCACTGGAGATGTAACTTTCCCCCTCTGTGTGTGTGCATGGCTGAGCCCCAGAATATAGGGCCTCTAGATGACTTCAGAGGAAAATTTGCCAGAACTTCTCAGCATGGGGAAAAAGTGTGTTACATATTAGCCATGTTCTTGGATATGGCTGAATGGAGCTGTTCTGACTGAAATTTCTCCCCCAGAATTCAGGCCTGAGGCAAACATCTGGCATGGAAAACTTGAACCAAGTAGTTAAAGTTTTGTAAAACTATCCAAAACTGAAAACAGGATCTTATCATAAGAAGAGTTAAGCAAATGGAATAACATTCAGTGCTACCCAGCCACAGTAGAATAACAAACTTAGGCCAAAGAGTGATCTGCTTTTACAGTAGAAAATGACATATTATCTTCAGCTGTTGAATCTTAACCCATGTACAACAATTTCAAATTAATTTCTTAATCTAAAGTGCTACTCAAGAGTTTTATTCCAAGTAACAATCCACTATGCCTGAAAATACTCAGATAAGCGAAGAAAGACACACATAATCTTTGAAACAGACAAGAAAAGGCAAATGCATTTTACTTGGTTTTCTTGCATATATGGCAGCCTCAGATCACTTGCCAAGTGGAAGATTTTAGAATTTTCTAATTCATGAAATCTTCAGCAAAACCTGAGGTGCAGAGCAGGATGGCATCAGTTATAATATGCTCCAAAACCTCAGAGAGGAATTCACATACTCTGGTGTAAGACACAGAAAAGCAGCTGACGTATCATTTGTAAGTAAGCACACAGCAATGAAATGTTGTTGATGCACTCCCTAAATCCAGAAAGAGCCGTGACAGACATTTTGCCCTATCTAAACAAGAAGGTTTCAGCAGCAGAAAAGATAAGGGATTGTTGGAAAATTTGACTGGAGAAGAGAGCTAACAAAAGACTTGAATGAAGAATAGTTTTTATTGTGTTATTAATCCTGATTATAGGGAACAAAATCAATAGAAATTATCACAATTTTTATATAGAATGACAGAAAAAGACCTATTTTCTGTAGAGGAGAAAAAAAAAAGAATAAAATACCGTGGATAAAATACTGTATATAATTTCTGTGTCAATTTAAAAATTGTATTTGTCAGAAATTTTATGCTGACTGGAGTCTAAACATAGCCATACGTGCAAAGAATGATAAAAAAAAAAAAAACAGTTTATTTTATATATTTGACACTTTTGTTTTTAGTGAAATTCACTCTGCTTTTATTAACATTTATGTTGTAATCTGAAATCCTAAGTAGAAAGCATTCACAAACTTAGATTTCTGTTAAATACATTGCATTTGAAGAAAAAGGCTCAGAAACTCAATACTCAAATTCAAGAGCCTGAGTTCAGCCTATATATTAGCTGATAATACCAAGCTCATAAAAACACCCTTTCTGCACTGTTTTAGTTGGCAGCACCTTCATCACTCCTGCAAAGGTACAGAGTACACTGAAATTAGCATAAACAAGCAAACGATCAATGGCAAGGAAGAAGAAAAAAAAAAAAGAATAATCAGTGTGTCACAAACAGAATTAGGAGCCCAGAAACATAATCTCAATTCTAATTATTCTCTCTTTCTTACCTACAGCACAGAGGTTGGAAGTCACAGCTTCTCCCTGTTGAAGTTCTTTCTGTAACACTGGGATAACAACACTACCCAAACACCTAGTTTCTTGAAAAAGAGTGCCTTAAATGTAAGGTCTCAGCACTACTTTAAAGTAGGAGAAAAAAGAACAATTCTTGCATAATCCAAAACTTCAAAATATCTTTTTTGACTTCAGAATCTTATGAACTCTCTAAAGCATGTTTTAGATTTGCCCATCTATTTTGATTCTCTCTCTTATTCTGTATCTTATTTATAAGCTGAGCTTCTGTCATGGTCTTTGAGAAAACTTTCTAATTAGTGACCTTTATGTGTTAAGTAGATTAAGAAATTTATTTTTTGCAAATAGGAAATACTGTAGCTATTAATATTTTCCTGCATACAGATAGAGTATGATTTGAAGAGTTAAGATCTGTTATGTCAAAAATGATAACAAAATATTAGTGGAAAATAACAATTACAAACAAAACCACAAAACACGAAATTACTTCCCAAGTTTAAAAGGGTGATGTGATGACACAAGGATGACAACCCTCCCATTCTCTTGTGACAAAGAGTGACTTTTTAGTGTTTCAAGAAACTGATACCTGGGGACATTCTCTCAACTGCAGTGCTCAAACAGCAGTGAAGATACCTTAATGCAGGCACCTGTCACACAGGAGGACTGAAAAGACTTTGATAAAGATAACATAAAATATGCTATTAGATCAGATTATATTTCTTGTTAATATGAAATCCAGCAGCTTTGTTTGCATTTTTTTCTCAGCACAAAAGGATAATCTCATTCCACGTATTCCATCAAACACTAATCTGTCTGCATGCTTAAAACTGGTATTCTACATAGTATACTTCAAACACAAAACAATTGTGATACCAGCGGCACTATTCAATTTGCTTAAATTAGCCATGTGCTCAAGTGCTTTACTCGGTCATAAGTGAAAGCCAGAAGCCTTAGAATCACAGAATGGTTTGGGTTGGAAGGGATCTTAAAGATCATCTAGTTCCAACCCCCCTGCCATGAGCAGGGACACCTTCCACTAGACCAGGTTGCTCAAAGCCTCATCCAAACTGGCCTTGAACACTTCCAAGGATGGGGCATCCACAGCTTCTCTGGGCAACCTGTTCCAGCGTCTCACCACCCTCACAGTAAAGAATTTTTTCCTAATACCTAATCTAAACTTACCCTCTTCCAGTTTAAAGCCATCACCCCTTGTTCTATCACTACCTGCCCTGGTAAAAAGTCCCTCCCCAGCTTTCTTGCAGGCTCCCTTCAGGTACGGGAAGGTCACTATAAGATCTCCCCTAAACAGTCTGACCAACATACTGTAGATGTTACAGAACATTTTGATAAAATTGTCATTGCCAGCTGAACACAGACATCAAATTATACTAATCTGAAAACAGTTATTATGGAGTTTGCTGAGTGGATATAGGCAATTTACTTTGTTTTTCTTTTTGATTTAAGATTACAGTAACTTTTATATCTACTTCGGATTGCTCAAAGTACAACTGTTATACAGAAAACAAGATCATGAGCTCACCGTTATCATCATGGGAATACTCTATTCCAGAAACAGTGCATCTTCGGAAAACCATCTTGTTTTCAGTAAGTGTCCCAGTCTTGTCTGAAAAGATAAACTGCACCTGACCTAGGTCTTCTGTGATATTTAAAGCTCGGCACTGCAGCTGAGTGTCTGTTTCTTCATCATATAAATCTTTATCTTGATGAATAAAGTATACTTGGCAGATTTTAACTATTTCAATGGATACATACAAAGAAATTGGAATCATAACCTGGAATACACAAAAAGAAAGAGAATTAGGGGAAAACAGAAGCAAGGATACATTGAATTAGTAAAATCTAGTTAACTTGGTACTAGACTAGGATGAAGGACACCTCTTTAGTTCTAGCAGTAGAAGGGGTACTACACATATTGCATGTGTATAGCTTTATTACAGCAAACTATGAACAGAGGTGACAGGATGTACAACTTGATTACCTGGAAAACTATGATCACTGTCAGAAATAAATACATTGAAGCTAAAACAGGAGACAAATATTTGCCATCAGGCCCTGGAACATCAAAAATTGGTTTCCTCTTTTCATCATATTGCCATACCCATAGGCCATGACCTGCAGAACAGTTGAAAGAGAGAAAAACGCAAATTACCTCCAAGGAAAAATGCTTATGGTATGAATTTGTTCTTAGACTTGATTTACATGGGAAAGTAATATTTGTTTTCAACTATTCTGCATGACTTCTGAAAAAGTCCCCAGAACCATGGGGTTTTTTCTGCCTTGGGATTTGGGGCTTGAGAAGGGGGTTTGTCTGGCCTGAAGGACAGCATGCAAGACTCATTTTGCATAACTTTATCCAAATAGAGTGAGCTGGCTAGTCTAAAATAGTAGTTTAGGCTCCTTCTGTAATCAGCAGAGAAAACCAGACTTCTTCAGAAAGTGATTCAGTTCAGTGATAGCTGATGTGTTAAAATAAAAGAACTCCACTGACTGCACCAGGTGTGTCACTAGCCAGCTATCACTAAACTAGTTTCAGCTGGATAAAGTCAGAAGAGACTTTAATCTTACTGTGTGACTCTTACCCACCATGTTTACAGAACTACTGAAATAACAGTATCAGCAGAGTTAAGAGCATGGAAGCTGAGGAACTAAGAACAGAAGAAATTCTAAGCCTTTCTCAAACCCTTTTTTTGATTGTGTTGATAACTAAATAAAGATAAGGCTATTAATATTATTTTGGGAAAACGACATTCTTGTTAAAGAGCGAGTTGACTTTTACAGTAGAGAGCAAGTATCTGCAGTCCTAAAAGACCTAAAATGGTATGCCTGACATTTTTAAGGTTAAAAAAGGAAGAATTTCCCCACAATAAGAAACATTCAAACAATCTTCACCATATATCCGAAATCAGAAAAAAAAGGACAAAGGCCTGCTTTAAAAGTAATCTTTTGTAAGCCACATCTGACAAGGTCCTCTACATCTTGATATATATAACCAGCACTGAACTTTCAAAAAATAAAACCAGTATTTAAGCCAAGTGAGAAAATTATTTTATCCCTGTACTGACAATATGAGCATATCACCATACTGACGTCTTTATTGATGTCTATATTTTTATTCTTGAGAGCAAAAATTGGAAGCCCCACACTGAGAATGACCTACATCAAGTCTTGTTTTATAAATAGCCCGACTCAGACTTTCAAAAGAATTAGTTAAGTGTTGTACCTTCACTTATACTTTCTCAACAGAGGGTACAAAATTGCCTGACTCTTACAGAACACAGCTTTGTGCATGTTGAAGTATCAGGCACCTCTGGTTTCCAAGGGCTCAGGCAAATTTCTTTCCAGCTGTTTTTGGTTGTTACCACCTCCAGCAGTTTGCTCTGGCCATCTGCTGATGGCTGTAGCAGGAGTGACAGAAGGGAAGGCACACGTGTCACCTCGTGTGCCACCTCTTCCCATTCATATTCCTGCACCTCAGGAGTTTCAGCTGAACTGAAGCCACTGCAGCGCACACCTTGCTGCAGCTGCTCTGGGGGGAACACCTCGGTGTGGCAGTGGCAGAGGGGACAGCTGCAAGCAGTGACTTCCTGCAATTAAACCTACGATGGCACTTCAGGCCTTAGGACTGGGCTCCCCAACACTGAGACACTATAAAAGACTGTCATGAACTTAGTGGCAACAAATATGCTGGCTGGTTTACAGCTGGAAGAACTCATCTTTAAGCAGCGTTTAACAATACCTGGAAAAAGGCACACAGGGACATATTAAAAAGGTGTAAGATTATTTTTAAACTACACCATGGTTGTTAGGAAGCATTTTAGTGTTTATGCTGTATGACTCACACACAAACATTACAGAACACACAAACCTTAAGGATATGGAATTCCTGTGCCACATATGAAGAATCATTTTGGGTGACAAACATAAAACTCAACTCTTTCTCACAAGTGAATAGAAAAACAGCCTGAAGAGTATTAACCTGAACCTCAGCATTTCCTTAAACACTCCATGAGGTCTAGAGAATCTTCTATTTGGATTTATGCAGTTTTAGACTTTTATTTATTTCTTCTATGTTAAAGCTGCAGCCTTAGGGACAGTGTGTCAATGTCATACACTGTGCCCTTGATTTAACAAATAGTACTGTGCTAATTATGTATATTCTCGCTCATAAATTACTTTGTTGACTGATTAATGCCATGTTACACTCTACCACTTTTAATTTTGAGGGGACCACATATGAAGTGGCTTCTTTTGGACTTGACATTTTTGCATGATGTCAAGGGTAGCAGAATCTAAGCCTTTAGATCTCTGGTACCAATAGCATATTTTTGATTGATACTAAGAAACTATTTATATGAGCTTATGTATCAAGACATCTTTATTTCAAAAAAGAAAACACAACAAAAATTAGACAGCATGGAGGAAGCTTTACGGATTTCATGTTTTGGCAGATACATATGTTTTTTGATAAAGCTAAGTGCATGAATCCTAAAAGAGTCTGATATTTAAGTTTCTACTTTTAAAGAGCACTTACCAATGGCAGAGAACAGACACATGATTAGAAGTATGAGGACACACCAAAGGACATCAGCATTCATCTGTCTTTCAAGCTTACTTCGTTTGTAACGGGGTCCATTATTATTTAACAAAGCTTTGGTCTCATGCCCTGCAGAAGCAGTTACATCAGATGATGTCATATGGATTTTTGTTACTATTTTAAGGAAGCTATAAAAAGATGGTATGCCTCATCAGACAGAAAAACAGCTTTTACCTGCATAGATTACTATTCCTGCAACCTCTTCTGTATTTCTGATGGTACATCCACGTAACAAAAGATTTTCTTTGAACAGTCCATCCTTTTTTCCACTTTTATGTATACTGCAGAAAATGTAAAAACAGAACAAAACACAGCATGTCAAAAGTTAAGCTTGTTAAATCATACTACTCTGTAATATAACAAGCCCAGGAAACATCTTCAAAGTTTAATAAGTTTTGTCAATCTGATGGTGAAGTATTTTCTTAGATCCTCCTCCTGGGAAAATTCTCTGGCAGATTTTGAAAGCCTAGAATACCTGCCCAAGAACGCCAGACATGCAGCAGCCCATCTGGAGCAGTACCAGTTGCTGCTGGATATACAAGTGTACTGGACAAATGCTCACTAGAGATCCGCAGGACAAATCTTCAGCATCTGTGCAGCCTATCTAATCCTTTGAAAATGAACTGAACTTTCTGTGCATGTGCAAACTGACTGTGCAATCACAGTTAATCCAGTCTACCTAAAAGCAGCTGTATAGTGCATATGATGAACCCACTATTCATGTGTTCTTATCAAAGAAAAAAAAAATATAGTGAAACTGGGAAAGGACTGTTCTTCAGAAGCAGTGACACAAAGGAAGATGTGGCAGGAACAATAAGTGTCAGTTCAGTGAAAAAGAAAGGAAAAAAAAATTATGTGTTCATCAGTGAGAACAAGAGAAATTCCTTTCAGAAGTGTCTTGCTAACTTTCTAAGAAAGACAAAGTGATTCTTGTTGACTAGCACCAAAATACATGAGAAAAATGGAACAAAGTAACATTTCCACTACAACTTATTGTCTGTTGTGTATGGACCGACTGAAATTTCAGCTGACAGAAATACAGAAAACAGCTTTTTGAGAATTAACAGTCACCAGGGAAATGCTCAACAATAACAACAACAATTAAAAATAGCATTAGAATGTTTTATTAGGTAAAAAAGACAAACCAAATAATAATTTCAAACCTTTTCTAAATGAATAAAATTTAATTTAATGAACTGCAGTATCCCAGTGCCTCAGAGAAGATTAAAACAAAGTCTGAAATGTTTAAATGTTCTGCCTTTACTTTCAGAGTATCAAAACCATCACACTTCCAAAGTTCAAAAAACCGACTGCAATAAAAAACTAGCAAAAGCTGGGAGTCCAAGATAAATTGCAGAAAAGCACATGTGCTATGCTAAAATTAACATTGTGCTGTTGCAACATCGAATTTTATGGCTACTTGGATTTGAGCATTTAAAAACCTGTGTCCTCTGAAATCTGCAAACTGGATTAAAATTGTGCCTTTTATAAAAAAGTGGAGTTCTTTGTATTTGCTTCCTATTTTCTAATCCTTCACATCTGGGTTATATTTTCATGCTTTTCTCCGATTGTTAGAATCTTTTCTTTTTCTAAATGAGCACCAAAATTCTAACTTTAGCACAAGCTTCTAGGATCTCAGGTCTGAAGAACTCTATCAAATATCTGAAATCTGCAAGAAGAAAGGGTTCACATTGGTGAATTCTTTGTACTCTCCCCCAGCCTAGCAGGACTGCTTGCAGATTATGTTGTTATGCTGGTTATGCTATGTAGCCTCTAGTCAGTGCTCTTAGTGAGTAGAACATACATATAAATAATACATATACACATTTTACATACATATATACATGTTTATATATACACATATACACAGTCCTTTTTAGTTCAGTATAATATATTATATCCACTCTCTGCTAAAAAATATAAGGTAAAAGCTTTGATGTTTCAACAGGTATGCTTAGCTCTTCACTATAGGGATGGAGAAAAAGTGGTGGAATTGACAGCTGAAGTAGCTGCAGCAGTGATAACATCTGACTAGAGACCAGAAATAGAGAAGGAAAGAAGCAGAGAACATCAAGTTTGCAATTCTGATACAAAAATGAAGGGTTTTTTTCATCAGGAGAGAACTTCCCCTGCGCAGCCTACCCTCCCTGCCAGCCTCAGATACAAGAACTGAGGTTTTGCTTCTGGTCTCTTCAGCAAACCTCATTAACCTACTAGCTCACCCTTCGACAAAGAAGCTTCAAAAACTGGGGGCTGGCTGTCCAACAGTTCTCTGGCAGTAGGCAAACAGGTGTAAGCACTGATTGCCAGCTGGAGAATTACCCAAATTCGGCTGGGCTTAAACTATGGGAAATAATAATTTTATAATGATTCCATGTTGTAGAAATTACACTACTACCAGGATTCTGCCATACCTCTTCTTTCTAAGGCTCAATTCTACATTAGCCTTTCTCATAAATCTGAATTTCCAATAAAATCTCCAAATGATGGTTATGATTCCTGTTAGAAATGGGACTTTAAAAAGATAAATCTACTTAAGAATTGCTCTGGCTTTTGATTTTATAGCCTTCATCAATTCTTCACACTTGACAGTAACATTGGACTGTGACAGGTATATTGTACATGGCAGTCTTTACATACAATTACTTGTGTATGTGTTCTACACAATTATATATTTGTTTCTACTATCTTAGCTTATAAAATGTCCGAACCTGCTCCATAGCAATGGTATAACATCTGAAATTAACCTGTAGGTGCCAAGACCCCAATCTACTGCCCTCACCCACAGACTGAGACTTCCCACCACAACTCATCTTATCCTTACGAGTGTTTGGCACTACTTTTTACTTTTCCACATCCAAATGAAGTCAATCAACTCACTTGTTGCTCACCAGACCTTTAGGAAACATGGATGAACTAAAAATCTGGGAGAAAGAAGCTGGCAGGGGCTGGAGGAAACTCATTGTTTCCTTCTTGTCTGCACTCACTCCCTGTGACTCACTAACAGAACATACATATAAGGCAATTGGGCACTGATGATAAAAGGAAAAAAAAATTACAGATATAAAAGTTTGGATTAAAAAATAATGAAAACTAGAGTTAAATACAACTGTTCACTTTGATAGCAAACCTGCCCAGGCTATAACTTTATGTCCCGGTGGAGGGATGGCTTAGATCCCATTTCTAGCCCCGCAGAGTTACAAACCTTAAGCTCGTTACAGAGGCAGAACAGTCTGTTTTTCCTCTTTCTGGATTCAGGCCAGTATAACTCTGGAGGCAAAGAAGGAAACTTTTCTCTGTCAGTATTTAAAACAGTGCTGGCTGAAGCCACTCAGACGCCTGGAATGCGGAGGCTAGCCCGCGAGGAAACACGCTGGCGAGGGCAGGTGCAATGCTCTTTTTCTCTGCAATTTCTCACCCAGATGACACCGCAAATATGCAGTATCTAAACATCTAAAACACATGCACCACGAATTAGGAGAAATGGGTGGACCTGATGCAGTTAGCTGCTACTTTGCTACAGCACTCTGAAAGTGTTTGTGCAGAAATAAGCCTTCTGGTTTAATACAGCAACGCTGATATAAGTCTGATGGTAGCTCACTTCAGCCTTCTATTATATTTTTCCTTTTTACGTGTTTACGAGCATTAAACAACAAGGGGGCGTATCAAGACTCTATTCAAAAGGGAGTATTTTCTTTCATTCTCTATCATTCTCAAATGTCTTGCAAAGCAAATGGTAGAGCTGGCATTACTTTCCAAGGCTTGACACTCCCAAAGAAAATATTCAATAATCTTAAACACAGCCTCACTGCACATGATCAGTCAGAATCTTCCTGACTCTCAACTCTGCCAAAACGTAATCTAGATTTTTTTTTTTCCAGGAGAGATGGTGCCACTACAGCACATTAGAGACATAATTGTATAGATTTATACATATTTTTTTCTTAAAAAAAATTGTAACATTATTTTATATTAATTTGATTTTGTTCTCTTTTGACAACCTTTGAAATAGAAATATAAACATGTGTTCATATTATTATAATTCCTTGCTGTAGTTATTTTGGTATGATCAGATAAAGTTTTCTGTTCTTGTCTAATAATAAAATTTTTACTTCCAGAGAAAAGCTGAAAAGCCAAAATGCCAACAACTACTTCTCCTTTTCCCTTGTTGATATACACACAAAAAGCCAGAAACAAGATTTAAAAGCCAATTTTGTAATTTTTGGAACCTGGTATGGGATTTTTGAATGTTTGCCATGCATACTGTACATAATCTGACTAGACCCATACAGCCAGGGGGCGTGTTAAGTTTTATTCTATTCTTCTTACACAGAAGACTTCTTATAGGGGAAATAATTATAAGGAAATATGCTTAGGACATCTGAGGATGTAGAAACTGAAAAAGAGTATTAAAGAAAGCCCCTGAATAAAACTGGTAGTCTGCCTGTCGTCTGCACATCCAGAGTGTGTTCAATGCAGATTGTGCCAATATAACTGAAGAAGTCATATGTAATAATGTGTACGCTACACCTTTGCAGATATAAGATAGGACCAGGCGTGTCTCAACATATTTTGTAATATTTTTGTGATTTTTTTATTATCATGTCTCCTTTTACCCTGGCCTGCCTGTGCTACACTGGTTACCTATAGTGATCACATTTCAAAGTAACTGTGGGGAATAGAATTTTTACATGTTTACAACAGATAAACATGCAAATATTTCTATTCCTCTAAAGATTTGTCTGCACAGACAGTAGAATCAAAGGAGCTCTTCATATTTCAAACAGAAAAAAACAGTCCTAATCAAAACTGGAAACCTACTAAATGGTCGAAACTTCAAGGCAACTTTGACAGCAATGTCTCAGCACAGCTTTTAAATACGGATCTCTTGAAAGTCTACTATTTCATAGCATCCCTATTTAAATATCTCAGTAACACTTCTTTTCAGTTCTGCTATTATCATCTGGGAGCTATCTGAACCTTTCCTTCAAGCACTGCCTACTGGTAAGATTTAAGAGTTAAGATCTGAGTTTGACATAGCAATGACATGTTTCAACTCAGATGTCCTATATGCTATTCATCTTGCTTATGTATGGTTTGAAATAGACCCCTTCATGATACTAATAAAGGAAATCTAAAAAGAGGGGAAAAAAAGCCTTCTCCTTTGATAAATTAGGAAGCTGAAAGTTTATTTGCTGAGGGCTTGGTCCCTGCTCTTTACTTCAAATGCCCCATGGTCCTTTAATTGTAAATCTCTTGGAAGATCTGGAAATCACCTGATGCTTTCTGCCATATTCAAAACTGATGTCTTGGCTTTTTGCTGTGTCAAAATATATTCACATCATTTGTGGAACATTAAAATATAAAGAAGATTAAATAGAATCAATATTGAACAACAGTTTTCCAAAAGGTACTACCATGTTTTCTGCTACATAATTCAAATGGTTCTGCAACTTACGTGCTACAGACATTTTTCACATGGAGTACAAAGTAAATATATAATGAAAGACAAATTTATGCATATCTTCTATAGTATTCAACCTCTGCTCAATATTTTGGGATTAAGATTCACACATTTGAAGTGTGCTAGAAAAGCTGCCAAACTTTCTATTTCCATATCTGGAAATGTCATTTCTGCAGTAGATCAGGCTCTCTATTACGTAGACAGTTACACACCCTCATGCAGTAATGTCTCATTCTAAACTTTTACCTTTAAATGAACTGTAGGGCTTTGTGCTGCTAAATAAAGGAATACATTTTCCCACGCTACAGCTCGATGCAGTTTCAAAAAAGTTATCCTGATTTACACCAGTTGACAATACAACCTACACAATCTGTGACATCTGAGAGTAGTAACTGAGATGGTAAATAGCATCACTATAAAAAACCCTCCCAGCTCCAGCAATTTACCTTGTGCCATTTACAATTCAATACTGCTTATCACTCCTAATCAATATGGGTAATAAATCATTGTATAGTAAACAGAATTCATGTATGTTTAACTCCCTTCATTAAAATTTAGACAGAAATTAAATATCCTGGGTTCTCACTCTCCGTATAGTTACAGACTGTAGTCATGCAAGCATCTCCTATGTCACCACAACTGGCATGCCTACACACTACAGTCCTGGCTATGTTAGAAGCAAAGTGCCTTGCACATACTAAAACATTTGCTTCTGAGTATGAGTGATTGGTCAGAGATGAGCACCCTGTTAATGCAGTTCTGTTTGTTTAAAATTAAGTCATGTGGCCATAGGTGCCTGCGTAGTAATGTACCAGCACACCCATTGTGTGAGCCAATTGTTTTACTTTGTCTGAATGACAGGAAAGGGATACTGCCATAGCTGGAGAAATATTAGTTTCACCTTCTGATTTTCCTCAGTGACACTTCCATTAAAAGAAACATCAAACAGACCCATCTTTATAAAAGCAGAGTACAACAGATTGTGTTTGTTTGTTGGCTCTCTTGGACCAGTTTTCTATTATTTCCCCCCATTTCTAAATGGGCTTTTCTGATCCATGGAGGGAAGGAAAGGGAGAAGAGTGTCTGTAACTGCACTGCTTCATGCATTCATTTCTGGAGTCTAAACAGATCAGAGCTAACAACTAAATCCATCCTAAGGATGGAAACATGCTGCTCACCCTGAAGTGAGGATCCTCTAAAAGAGCCTTAAATGTGCAGCCCTATTTAGATGTGATGATGATGCAACTTACAGAACACAGCCCAAAACAAACCAGCATTTATTTTATTCTGTTATTAGAGAAAGGGAGTGTATACTGAAGGATATTATATGAAATACTCACATGTAACCTCGAAACCTACTTAAGTCATTGTTTGGCTTCTCGCATTCAATGACACTGGTGAACTTCAAGGGGTCAAATTCTGAGTCCTGGAATAGTAAAAGTGTTAATTACTTAGGGTAAAGACTTGCAAATTATAGCCAAAATCACTTTCTTTTCTAGCTTTCACAATATATTAAAGTCCATATTTTTTTTCAAAGGCAATCAAATGAATGACACTGACCACTGGCACTGAAAATCAAAGGGACCTGGGCACCAAAATTCCTTAGATGCCTTCCAAAATCTCCCTTACAGGGTGATTTTTTTGTTCTGCAAGTGGAAGAATGTCAGTTTCTAAAAGCATTACATAAAAGATACCAAGCCCAGAAGTCAAATTAATTTGGTCTGGAGTGGAAAAATTAAATTTATCTGGGAAGGGTCAAAATATTCAATACTATCACTACACTTAAGTGAAGCTACTGAAAATCTAGGACAACATAAGTCAATACACTGCCAATTATGAAAAAGCTAATATGAGCTTTTGAAATATTATCAAGACTTCTTAATTGCTTTATGCCAACACAGATAAACTAATCTACTACACTAAATAACACACATATAGCAGAGTAACTTTTTCCTAATAGTTAAAAACTTTCTTGATTCTCTAGCTCATTAGTCTGAAGCTGGTATTTCTGCTGACTATATAAGTCTACCTGTAGTTAGCACCTTGTTTTGTCTGAGGAAAAACATCCTGTCACAGCATAATTACTTGATTTTGTTAAATAAAAATCAAGGTTCTCTCTTCTTTGCCAGACCAAACAAACCACACAGTGAAATCAGAGATATCTGGTCCTGGTGCTGCTGAGAAAGCTGTTTGTCTCCATCAGTGAGGACTATCTTTAGAAAACTGCTTTGTAAACCAGTTGAATGAAAAAATCAGTTGTGAATTATCATTAATGAATTAAGCTCATTATTAAGCTTCCAACAGTGATAACGCTGCAAATGTTAGGTTTTATAATGGTTATGCTGAGCAGTTGTAGACTCCAAACACTGCTTTTTACAATATACTATGGGAATAGTTGACTGAGAATCAGTAACCAAAAGACAGACACGGTCTTATTGACAGCTTCTCTGAAACACACAGGTGCCTCTGTTTTTTTTTTTTTATATTGATTCCACTCAGAAGAGGTGAAAGAAACTAGGTTTTAAATAAGCAATAAAAGAAACTAGAGGCTATGTCAGCATTACCATCAATGCCCTCCCTCATTTTTCTACCAGTTACACCTGGAAGAAAGACAGACTTACAGTATATAGGAGACAATTCAAACCAGCCATGTCTGACTGTTTTGGAAAACTTACCTGTATTTTCAAGAAACAAGAGATGATAAAGAGAACTGTGAAGATGGGCTGTCACTTAGAGACAGCTACAGCCCACTGGAGGAAAGAATCACTTTTATATGAAGAATTCAGCTTGTAAACAAGGAGTAAAAACAAAGGACAGCTTTGAGCAAAGAAGGCAGCTGCTATGCTAAGCATTGACTACCTAAATTACGTCAAAGCTGACAGTCAAATATCTGAGCCTCAGCAAGAAATCCAGATGATCTTCTCAGCACCAAATACTGTTGGTATTTAAGCTAATTAGATATTTCTCCTGGTCAGCCTTAAACCTCTCTGGGTGACTGAAGTTTGATGCTGGGAATTCTCAGAAGTACCTAGCTCTACAGAGGCACCTAAGACATCATTAGGCTGCAGAATGGGGCAGATATTGTAAAGCCACATGTTCAACCCCTTTGACCCCTGTTCCTCAGCTGGTCACTTCAGACAGGCACAGACACCAGCAGTCACAAGGAAGGAATCACTGGCTAGAACAGACATCATGAAGCTTTCAGGTCTTGACATCTGAAATCAGTTACAGCTGAGGAGTTACAGCTCCTAAACTGTACAATCTGCCTGTGTCCTTGCCTCGAGCAGTCAAAGGTTCGTGTTGCAGAGGCACTATACTAGCAGTCAGTGCTGCTTGGTGGCTGGCTTTGCTTGAGCTTGTTGGAAAAGGTGAAGTTCTTTGAAGTCAAACTAAACCTTGTTTTGCTGGGAAAGCCTATATTGTCTACCTAACACCTGCTCTGCTGCCCCAGAACATGATCTTCTTTTCCTTCCTTGCCCCAGTATGCTCCTTGGTGGAGGGGAGGAGGGTGGGGAAGGGGGGAGGGGAGGGGGAAGTACAGGAAAAATAATCTACAAACATTGCTCAAGGTGTTTCAATAATACTATCTGTCTGCCTAAGCACTGTGTTAAAGAAGAGTCACTACTGTTGCTTAAATTGCATTTGTCAATCAGAAGGAAAAGAATAGTCTGGAAAGGGAAACATTTTTTGTCTTTTTATCATAACATACTATATATAATACAGTTAATTTAGCACAAATTTTCATTCAGTGGTCTTAAAAAAAGAAAAGAAAGAAATCTTAACATCTTTGATGAATGCCCCTGAGGGAATCCTAGAGACATCTAATAATAAAACCCAATATAATCAAATGCCAGATTTCTATGGCTGCTGAACTCAGCAAAGAGAGCATGGTTTCAGTGCTATACAGACACTGTAACTTCCAGAGCAATTGGGAGTTTGCAGACTGAATTCCCTTTCTGCTAAGAAAGCCTGCCAGCAAAGCCAGCAACTTTACAACTAAGAAGAAAAAATCTACTTAAAATCTAGAGCTAAAGTCTTCACAAAAAAGAGAGATCAGACAGGACTAAAACTACCCGACTTCCCCATCACTACCATGCAACACAGTCTTTCTTCCTCCTGTGTTTGTTGGATTCTTTTCATTTATGACTCAGTTTCAGAACTAACAGTCCTTTATCGTTAGATCTAACTGTCTGTGTATTTGTGTTCTGTTACAATTAACTTGAAATATGTGATTATGGTCTTTAATCAGATAATATCTGGGAGGAGAGAAAATCCAATTACAATAGTAGTTTACGTAAGGAAACAAAGCTGCTGAATTGTGATTTATGGCAAAAACTCTTTGGTTTATTAATAAATCAAACAGCTCCATCTCTTCCCTGTGAAATGGAGGGGTAGGTATGACAATGTTTTGATGTGAAAATGCCTTTTGGTAAATGAATGAACAAAAACATTAAACACTGCTTGCGTATGACTGCTTTCAGTGGTTATAAAGAAGCACAAAGTTAACATGAGATTTCACAATCATCAAAGTTTTGTTCCTTTTTATGCTGATACCCACACTTCATCATCAAATTAAACATAAACTGTGATGATGTTCTCACATATTAACAGCTAAGAGAAGCAGCAGCTAGACAGAAGTTAAAGCCAAAAGTGTACCTTTTACAGTGCAGAAAGCATGATTTGTGTGGTTTTCTGGGTAAAAGTCCAGAAAATGAAAAATTAAATTCTCCACCACTACCTTTAATTTTTCACTTACACTGAATTTCTGCATCACTGTTATGACACAGAAAACAAGATTAAAATATGGTCAAAAACAGAACTTCCACAGACTTTTGTCCAGCAGTTACCTGATGTGCCTGATTTTCAGTGTCTTACTTCCCACTTACAGAACTGCTGAGCATTAAAGTGGTCCTACCCTCAAGAGGTATGAAAAGCTCCATGGCTAGACAGACTAGAATCTGAATGGAGGCTTTCCAGTGCCTAATTTCCCTAAAAACTTGACTCATTGGTGTTTTCATGGCCTCCCAGTGCACACCAACAGGACGAGGTCACTCACAAAAAGCAACTGGAGGATTTTTTTTCTTTTCTGAAGGTATGTAACAGTGTCATATTTATTATACAGTACCTCTGCATGTCTCCCAGACTTGTGCCTTGTCCACTGCTGATCTGAACAACTGACCTTCTGGTTGATACAAACCTTAGAGGAATTCACTGATTGCAAATAAGTTCCCTAGAGTATTTCAAAAAAGCCAGGGCTAAATTCTCTTCATGTCAGTGAGATTTTTTTGTTAAACAACCTGTTCTCCCTTTGCTACAATGTAAATTTTAATTGCCATCACTAATGCTAAGAATGAGTGACTGTAAAATGTATGTAAGATAAAATACCTTGCTTACGCTGAAGGCACAGTTCTTACTACTAGGTAGTGCTTAATTTGAAGCACAGACTGGCCATTACTAAGATGTTACAGGAAAATTGTGGTTGAAAGGATAGAAGAAGGTCACTTGGAGAAACGAGAAATCTAAAAGAAGGGCCAGAAATTATTATACTAGTTTCAGTGAGTGCTGACTTTGAAAAAAGTCAGCATGAGCACCATGTATGTCAAAGTCTAAGCAAAATCAAGCACATTCAATTACTTTAAGAGAAAAAAAAAAGAAACAGCCACTAGAACTCAAAGTTTTGACTCCTGCATTAACACTCTAAGGCTGTAAACAATCATTCCTACTTATTCTCTCTCCCTCCAGGCCAATCAATCTTGATTTCTTTGAAAGAGCTACAGTATGAGACATGGATAATATTTAGTAGTCAAGAAATACAGGTTTGGCTTCCACGAAGCTGAAAAAGAAACTGAATCCTTGTTACGCTTTCTTTGAGCAAATGGGACTAGTGTAAACCCCTCTGCCCATGCTACTAGTGTGCCCAGCAGTGTGCCCAGGTGGCCAAGAAGGCCAATGGCATCCTGGCTCATATCAGAAACAGTGTGTGGCCAGCAGGAGTAGGGAAGTGATCACCCCCCTGTACTCAGCACTCATGGAGGCCGCCACCTCGAGTTCTGTGTTCTGTTTTGTGCCTCTCACTATAACAAAGTCACTGAAGTGCTGGAGAGTGTCCAAAGGGCAATGAAGCTAGTGAAGGCACAACAGCAAAAGTCTTATGAAGTGCGGCTGAGGGAACTGGGGTTATTTAGCCAGGAGAAAAGGAGGCTGAGGGGAGACCTTCTTGCTCTCTTCAACTACCTGAAAGAAGGGTGTAGCGACGTGGGTCTCAGTCTCTTCTACCAAGTAACAAGTGACAGGACAAGAGGCCTCAAGTTGTGCCAGGGGAGGCTTAGACTGGATATTAGGAAAAAAATATTTACTGAAAAGGTTGTCAAGCATTGGAACAGGCTGCCCAGGGAAGTCACCATCCCTGGAGGTATTTAAAAGACG